GTATCTTTTAGCTTTGATTTGGAGAAGTGTTTTTGAGGCTAGGACTATTTCAGTCAATTAATAAGTGGGGGGTGGAGTGGGGAGAGAGAGAGATTGATATGCACATCCAGAAAACATGAAATGGGGAAGTTTAAGACAACGAGTTTTATGTGGCTGGAGCTCTGGTGGTGTAAGGACGCAGCAGTGATGCAGGAAAGATAAGCCCGGGCCTTGAAAGCCAGGCAGACTTGGAAAGTTCTACATGCAGTAGAGGAAAGCTGAAGCTTTAAGGCAGGCTCTGCATGTTAAACTTGGCAGCTCTTGCTTGTAATTTGGGCAGGACAATGCTTTGTCAGTGGGATCACTCCATTTACTTCAGGATGTTGGAACACATCTGGTCCTTGTTTTCTAAATGCCGGTGGTGCTTTTTAGTCCAGAAAAAAGCAACCGTAAACGATCACATTTCCAAATGTCCTAGGAGCAGCTCTGCCCCAGTGTGAGTGGTTGCCAACAGTCTAGTCCAGCCCAGATTAGGAAGGGAACAGCAAGAACCCCACTCAGAAGTACACTGTGATGATTTAGGAAAGATGTGATGAGGACATGGTACACTGGGGTGATAGAAAAAGAAATATATGATATAATGGTGTTTCAGAGATAAAACAGACTTAACATGATTTGTCTTTTGTTGAATAGAGGGAAAGGAAGGAATTGAAGATGACTCCAAGATTTCAAGCTTGAGAAATGAAAAATAAATAATTAAGAAAACAATGCTATTAAATTACAGAGAAGAGAAAATTTGCCAGTCGTGGGAGGGACTCGTGAGTTCCATTTTTAGCTGGCTGAATATAAAGCATCTCTTATCTCTGGGGCAACTTGAGCAAAAAAACTGGAATGTGTGAGACTAGTGCTCAGTCCAAGTTAGGGACAAGAATAAGACTGAGATCAAGGGAGAAATGCTGAGTAGGTAGAGAAAGGAGCCAAGGGAAAAAACTTAAGGAATTCTTTGTTTACTTAGATTGAAAGCTGTCCTTTTTTAATACTGGTCATCTTCCAGATTGCTCTTTTATCTTGCTTATTTTGGGCACATCATTAGGAATGTTCAATTTCTAAAAAAGGACATCACGCTTGGTAAAGTCAATGAAAAAGATGCTCATTCAGATAGACTGCCACAGTGACTGTAACAATGGACTCAAATAGCAATGCCTGGGAGGCTGGCGAAGGACCAGGCAACCTTTCATTCTGTTCTGTTATATGGAAGATTGCTAGGAGTTAGTTGGAGGTGACTCCTGGGCACCTAACAGTGTCTTCCTTCAGCTTGACAGTTAGTTAAATAGGCTATAAAGACAAATGGGAAAAAACAAGAGACAGACTAAAAGAAACATGAGAGCCAGTCATCCTGACAATGAGAGATGATAGATAAACTAGTTTTTAAAATCTATGGCATTTTCCCCTGGATTTCAAGTGAGTACTTTTAAAACAATCTCTGAACCTCTGTGGGCTTACTCACTGTACCATCCGATCTACTTCCCCTTAAACAATGTTACCTTTGAAGTAAAGGTCTTTTCAAAAGTAACTGAACAAAGTATTTTCCCCAAAGCTGAACCTTTGTTAAGATAATTATTCACTCCTGGATATTTCTTCTTCTGATTTCTTTTTACTCAGAATCACGCAATTTCTATCACTTAGTATTCTAAAACTACTTGCTCTTAAAAAAGTCTTGAGTCTTTAGAAACTTTCTATCTAACTCCAACTATTTGCAGGCAAGTGAAGTTATCCCTCCAGCAACAATAAATACTGACTTACTGTACATCTTCCTAACATTTCATTAAATATTCTCAACAAGGATTCAGTTGCCGTCTGCTCCAGCAATTATCAAATTTTAGTCTGTGGATCCCTAAGTCTCAGGAATCATTTTAAAAGTTTTTATAATAAGCCATTACATTGCCTTTTCACTGTGCTGATATTTCTACTAGTTTGACAGTAGTGGTAAACAAGACTTCTGGAGCCTTAGCATGAACTGAAGCAGCGGCACTCAAATATTCTAGTAACACTCATTATTCTTCACTGTCACACACTCATCAGTTTAAAACAAAGATATGTGACCTTTATAGATATCCTGAAAGGTTCTCAAGGATACCAAAAAGACCAGGGATCCTACTTTGAGATCCACTGCTCTGGGGAGTTTACAACACCAGAACAAGTTCCTCCAGAGAACTGACGGTACAGCAAGTACTGGGTCTGTCCCTTTGATCTGTTTGGACCAGCAGTTCTCAACCTGTGAGTCGTGACCACTTAGGGGGTCAAACAACCCTTTCACAGGGGTCGCCTAAGACCATCGGAAAACACCTGTTTCCAATGGTTGGCCGTCACCACCACATGAGGAATGGTACTAAAGGGCCGCAGCATTAGGAAGGTTGAGAACCACTGATGTAGACCATCCCAATTCAAAGGGACTGATGAGTTGTAGTCACTTACTAAACTCTTCTCTGAATCCAAACGTGTTTTACATAGGGTCTGTGGAAGCTAGCCTCCGAGATGGCTCCCCATGATCTCCACCACCTGGCATTTAAGCCCTTGGTTAATCTCTTCCCACACTGTACTAGGGTTTATCAGTCTGACCAACACAGTAGAACAGAAGTGAGGGTGTTCACTTCAGAGATTAGGGTGTAAAAAGACATGGTGGCTTCTGATTTAGTATTAGTTGGTGTCTGTCTGCCTGCCTCTCAGATCACTGATTCTGTGGGAGGTCAGCTGCCAAGTCATGAGAAACCTTATGGAGAAGTGCTAACTTGGAAGCAAATCTCCCTGCTTTAGCCCCAGCTAAGCCTTTGGGTGATTGTAGCTCTGGCTGGCACATTAACCAAAACCTCATGACAAATCCTGTAAGACCCTCCAGCTAACGCACTTTCAGACTCTTGAACCTCAGGAATACTGGAAAGTAATTAATTTCTTTATCCAACACAGATAACCAAAACATGTTCTTTCCCCTCAAGGGTTCAAATATAGAAATATAGTGTTGCTTTTCTTTTTTCAGGGGAGGGGATACATATATATATATATATAGATATATCTATATAGATAGATATAGATATGTCTATATAGATAGATATATCAATATATAGATAGATATATATAAACATAAACTTACAATGAAAGACAAGATCAGTTAAGTGCCAAATGAGTATTTCAAACAATATCTATATAGGATGGGGTACAAAATCAGATCGCACTGGGTGAAGCAGAGTTTCCATAATACACGTTTCCCACTAGGCAAGCACCGTGCAACTTGCTCTGAGTAACTGCACCCACTCTCTGGTCACAGTGAATTTTTTTGTGAAAGCAGTTTTGCTCAAACCTTGTTTTTTTTTGTGATAACCGATTTACGAGAACCGCATGCAGCTATGAAATTTTTTTTCCTGCTCGGGAAAAATGCTGCAGAAAGTGCTGTGATGTTGAACACAGTTTACAAGACAGCAGTATGGGGGAAAACTGAAGTATACAAACAGTTTTCTTGGTTCAAAAACGGTGAGATGTCAATTGATGACAATCCTTGTTCTGAACATTTGTCAATTCATTCCACCTGGTCAGACTGTTAAGCTTTCTATTTAGAAGTTCTGAAAACATAGCGTAACATAGTGCAATGAAAAAGGCCTGATTTGTGGCAGAAAGGGGGACTGGTTTTATCACCATAACAAAGGATCTGCTCATACAACCATCTCAGTGCCCCAGTTTTTGGCAACAAACAGGCTGCCTTGCCTCTCTTGCCCCACAAACTTTACTCACCTGACCTTGCTCCATGCAACGACTTTTTGTTTCTTGACATGAAAGGATAGTGATTTGACGATATAGAAGAGGTGAAGAAAAAAATGAGGGAGGTGCTGTCAACCATCCAAGTTTGAAAAATGTTTCCAAAAATGGAGTTGCAATTTGAAAAATGTATTCAGTGTAACAGAGAGTACTTTGAAGGTAATAATGTTATTTTGTAAAAAAAATTTAAATACATAGCTTTGGGGGGTGGGGGAGGTACAGGGAGGTGGGGATTCTGGGTTTGGGGAGGTACTCCCTTGTAAGCTCCAAACAGGAAAAGTTTTACTGTGGGTTAGAGTGTTGAAAACAGTTTTCTGAAGAAGACAGAATTTCAACTAAATCTAAAGGAGACGTGAGCTATGCATCTACTAAATGGATGAGAATCTTCTAGGGTGGAAGAAACCAAGTATAGCAAAGGCTGAGGGCAGTGTTTGACAAGGTACGCTCTTGGGGGGAAATGGGGCAATGACGTCATCAATTTAGGCTTAGATTACATGAAGGAGGGCTTTGAATATAATGTAAAGTTTAGATTGCCTTGTAGGAAATGGACCAGCACTGAAGTTTTTTTTAATAGGATAGTAGCAATACATGAAAACTCTAATTATGAGAGCTTTCAAAAAAGACCCCACCTTTCTCCAGGCCTAGCATTCTAGCTTCAGTGAGTTTTCTTTATGTAAAACTATTAATAAATACAGTTTTTCTGGCCTACAATATACCACTGTCTACAAAAACTAATAAAAGAGTTAATTTTAAAATATCTCTAAAACCTCTAAATATTTGTCTGAACTTTTAATTTTAAATTTTACTATTTAAATTTGTACTCTATAATAAACTTTCCATATTAAAATGTGACCCCTAATTCACTATCTGCTGGACATATACAAGGTCAAAAGAAACAGTTATTGTAAGACTTGGTGCTGATTCTGGCTGACGCCCAAGCAGGAAGGGTACCAGCAATACCTGCATGTGTGCCTTTCCTGGTTTTCCCTCTACATGATGTCAGCGTTGAACACTCTCAGCAGACCAGAAAACCTCAGAGCACAATATCACACTGTAACAAAGCACCGACAGTGCATTCGAGTCATGTTGGTCCCAATTCTGAGTGTGACTCTAATATAAGCCCTTGTTTAATATTCTAATGATTAAGTCAGATGAAATACATGCCTCCAAAGTCGTTCCTGGAAACATGTGCTGCTTTCACAGTAAATACTTACTGTGTGAGAACCGCTGAGTGATCGGGGTTCCAGGGTACGGGTAAGTCCGACTTTCCCACTGAATGTTTCCTTCCTGGACGGCCTTCATGAAACCATGGTAACACTGGTGGGCTACACCTAAAACAAGAAGACAAGTTAATGGCCTCACCCTGCACACTCCACTTGTAAGTCACATCATCAGGAACGTCTATTGACTGTCTTTCCACTTATATAAGCTATAGGTTT